GCCCTCCGGCCTCCTCTTCGCCGGCTGCCCGGGGCTGTAACCCCAGGACACCCCCAAGCCCCAGTGGCAACCTTGCAGCTCCCTAGTTTCACCCCGGCCTGCCGCGTGGACCTCTCCACTTCTGCTCCTACCATCGGTGTCCCCAACACCCTAAGCCCTCTGGATTTGCGGCCCCTCGCCCTCCCCATTCCGCGGGTGCCCAACCTCCAGGCCTCGCAGACCACCAACCTGGATCCCAGACCCCGCGTAGAAACGCTCCTGGTCCTCTGAAGGGCGGCCCTCCTATCTGCCAGCTCGGTTCTCTTAACTACCGAAGCGCCTAGATAGCCCTAGACCCGCCCCGCGCCTACCTGGGCTCAATTAGGTCTGCAAAATGGGTGTGATAGCGGGACCTATCTAGTAATATCCGCTGAGATCTACTGGGATCAAGGGGGCTTAGCACAGAGAAAGGGTTAAACAAAACTCCTCGCCTCCCACTTTGTGTGCCCCAGTGTGGCCCACGGCCCCAGCTAGGCCAGTCCCGGTCTGTCACCGCCAGCTCCAGTTAACTCCTGTTTCAACATCTGCCCCATTCAGGTGCCATCTGCCTGCCTGCGAGGAGCCCATCTGCCTGCGTGGTGATGACACTCGCAGCCCGGACCCAGCAGGGCTCTCTGGGAAATCATTGCAGGGAGTTAAGGTGCATGCCTGGCTTTGAGTGTACACAGAGCCCTGGAGATGGGCAGAGCCCTGGAGATGGGCGGAACCCTGACGTAGCCCAGGGAGACGAATGCCATTTGAGCAGGGAGCCTCCAGGCCCCGAGGTAGATTCAGAAATCTGAATCTCAGAGGCCCTTTGTGTTGCTCAAATCCTGGGCCTTTATTCCCAGGCCCTAAAGATAGTGAGACCCAGACAGGGAGAGTGGTTTGTCCCGGGTCCCACAGAAAAGTCCTCTCTGTCCCAGCCCTTTCACCATGTCACCCTCGTAACCAACATCAAGAGTGAACAAACTACCAAACTAGAGAAGATTGCAAAGTCCTCTCAAGCATGGGAAGTTGCCAAGTAGATGTCATTAGTGAAGGCAACCTTTTCTTGCTTTTAAAATATAAAGGAAATTATGGGCGGCGCCTGTGGCTCGAAGGAGTAGGGCTCCTGCCCCATATGCCAGAGGTGGTGGGTTCAAACCCAGCTCCAGCCAAAAACTGCAAAAAAATAAAAAAATAAAGGAAATTAGATTATGCCCAACTTCTGCCATTCTCTATTCTCAAGGTGCAACCTGGGCTTGCAAAAGGACCAATCATCCTGACATAAACCTGAATATCACGGACCTTGCTGGAGACACAAGCCCTACAGAAAATGTTGTAGAGCAAAACATTCAGGGAACATCCCCAGGTGATGCTTTTCTTTCTTTTTTTTTTTTTCAGACGGAGCCTCAAGCTATGCCCCGGGTAGAGTGCCATGGCATCACGCTCACAGCAACCTCCAACTCCTGGGCTCAAGCGAGTCTCCTGCCTCAGCCTCCCAAGTAG